AACTTGTCTGCAGTACAGGACTCCTCCCCTTTGGGCTCTGCAAGCCTTTCTTTCATTCATCTCCCTCCCTTCCTGTCCTACCTCTCCTCTTCCAAAAAACATGGACTAATCCCAGGAGTCATTTTTTTCCAGTCCTAGTGGGAATTTTTATATTCTTTCTAAGCATGAAGCTATACCTTTGATTATCAGGAGTGGTCTCTGCATGCTCCATCCTCTGACCACAAGCAGCATTTCTGAAAACCCAAACCAGAATAGCACCCTGGCTCTGAGCATGTTCCAGAGTAGCAGGTGCCACGGTTTGAGTTTTTGCCATGCATCCCTCACCCTGGGACTACTCTCTGCCTTGGTTTCCTCACCTGGAAACAGAGGCCGTTATAGCCCCAAGGTCACGGGTTCGCCATGAGGATTATGCAATTTGGTTGTGAGTGGCTAGAAGAGTACTTGGTACCCAGGTGATGCTCTTTCTGTATCAGTCCTCACAACTCCTCCAAACCTTGGCTTTCTCCCTCCTGGAGGGCCTACAAGTTTTCAGGAAATCTTAATCCTACAGGAATGTCTTCCAAAGACAGTAGTGGAAAACCTGTTTTTCCTGGAGGACTCTCCTCTGCTGCTGTTTGGCTCTTTGTATCAACCTGCTGGAGGGCAGCACCGGGCTCCCTATGAGAGGTGAAGTCCTCCCCAGCTGGTGAGGTGGCATGGTGCACACCAGCCCACCTCCTGTCCCAGCTCCCAGCCTCTGAAGCTAGATCAGTAGGTGGGAAGTAATTGGCTACGTGGGACCACGGGGGTTCTGTGGCCTGGTGTGGCCTTGGTTCTTCAGTTTCTGTTTGTCTGGGCCACCTCATTAGCTGCTGCCTCCTTGGAAGGTTAGAATTTTATAGGTTTAACAACCCATTTGAATGAAAAAGCCTGAAATACTGGGATAGCCCTAGGTTCAAGCTAATTAATACCCCTTTTCAAATTGGGGCTTTGGAGGATAGGCTGAATCTTTGAAAAGGAATCTTTGGAGAGTGTTGTGAGTCATTGCAATAAAACCTAGAATGGGAGGGAAGAATGTAGGAGCAAAAGAGCTGAACGCAAGAGGAATCTGTCATTTCTGGCAGCAAATCGGCCCGATAGAGGGGAAAAAAGAATGTTCTTCATGCAAATAAGGTCCACTGAGGCTTCCCTGAGTCTTCAGTAGGATGATCCTCAAACCTACTGATTTTCACATCTAATTCAACGCGAAATTAGTCATTAGACACTAAGACAAAAGCAGGCAGGCTCTCCTATCTCAACAAAGAATCTTCCCCACTGAAGTGGAATTATCTCTGGAATAATTAAAATGGTTGCTAAAGGATGAAAACATTCCATTAACTGGAGTTGCCTTTGTCAAGACATGCCCCCTTCCTCCCCAAATAAATCTGATAGCCATGATCAAGGAGAAGGAGTTACCAAGACCACAATAATGTGATCAGACATAAATCCTCTTTGGCACCATTTCTGAGCCAGAGAGCACAGTTCCTAGTTGGAGGATGCTGCTGGTATCAAACAATTTTATTTGTGAGCAAGAGGGGCTGTGGTGCTTCTTTCTGAGGTCCCCATCTGAACGGTCTATACCCTAACAAAGGAAATAAGGGCTATAATGAAAGTATAGCAGATGATTATTTTCCTGGAATGCCCCCAACCTGCCTACTGATTGTTGGCAGTGTTTCCAGAGTTCAGATGTCTTAATTCCAAAAGAGCACAATGATGGAGCGACAGTGTTTCTATCACAAACCAAACCAAAACACAAACAGCCAGGGGCTTTGACATTCACTCATTACCAGGAGGCACTGTGGTTGCCTGATGTGATCCATACCTGTTCCTATACAGTGTGGAGATTCGTGTTTTGTGGCAGGGTCAACCAAGTCCCTTATCATGGGTACATTATACCGTCACAGAGTGCTGCACACAATAGCAAACCAGCCTTCACTCGTGAGCAGCCATTTATGGTGATGGAGTCTTAACATCCAACAGGCTTTTGTGTTTAAAGACAGAAACCGTGTTACCCTTTGTTTACACCCAACGTATGCATCTTTATTTGTGTAGCAGTTCACGGTTTTAAACATTACACAGTCAACATTCCTCTAAACATTTGTACGTTTCTTAAAAAATAATGTGGATGTAACGAAGGAAAATTTCTCAACACTTAAACATAGATTGTAAGTGTAACCACTTTTAGACATTTATTTGAAAGGACATTTCTTAAAAAGTCAGATTATCTTAGATGCTGAAGACCCTGCAAAAGTAAATAAATAAACAGAACACATGTAAAGGCTAGTGCCTTTGCAAAAAAGTAGGTATAAATGAGTGAATACCATGGATTTAAAGTTTCTGGGTTTTTGTGGCATATGTGTATGCATGCGTGCTTGCACACAGTTACATCATCCAAGAGTGACCTTCCTCAAGTTTTAGTAAATTTTATGAGAAACTATGACAGAAAAGCAGAGGCCACCAGCTCTGGCTGTTTCTTAGTTGGGATGTAGGATCAGGTTGCTCAGCCCACGGTGATTCTGAGTTCCTTTTATTATGTCGGAGGGTCTTTAAGTCCCTCTCTTTAGGTTTTCATTTTTGAAACTTGGTATGTTTCATGGAAATGATAAATTTTGAGCTGTGTGTACCTGCCATTGGCAATTCAGACCCATTGTTCTGCCATTTTGATTTATTGAGCTTATCTGTTAACATTATTAAAAACTTATGTATCCTCTATTATTATTTTATTCTAATGATTTGGGCCATTTAGAGGTTTCATCTCCTAGGAGATGAGATTGAGTCTGTGTAATTAGCTTTCTTCTTTTGGACAGCTGGCTAATTCATCACCTTGGAATGCAGTATTAGACTCCCTGCTCACCTGTTTATTTGGTATGACCATGAGTACCTACTGGTTCTTCCTAGACTTAGAATAATACTTGATCCTTCTGGGACTCAGTTTCTCTCTTCTGTTTACACAGGTGGAAAGTATACCACATGCCAAATATTCCATGTTATTATGATTACAGCAGAACAGAGTTCCCCTTTCTGTAGTCCCTGGCACATAACTTTTATACATTTTGCCTTATCTGCTTACCACCTGTACCATTATTTACATAAGACTTCTCTCTAAATAACTTTAAATCTAATTGTTTTAACCTGGCATCATTTTAAGCTATGAGAGCTATGAAACCACAGATTTGATATATTGGTTATGTTTCAGTTGACTTTTTAATTTTTTGGGAAGATTTTATTATTTATTTGAAAGAGCATGCATGCATGAGTCGGGGGGGAGAGAGGGAGAAGCAGACTCCCTGTTGAGCAGGGAGCTCAATATGGGGCTCGATCCCAGGACTCTGGGATCATGATCTGACCTGAAGGTAGACGTCCAACCAACTGAGCCACGCAGGAACCCCTCAGTTGACATTTTTATAAGTACACATTAAAATAATAGCACAAATATTGGAGCGACAGGATTGCCTTGGTACCTATACCTGCAGAGCCCCTTTGCATACTGCTAAGATCCGTTGTCATACCACAGTTGAGGAGATTGGGTGGAAGACCAGATACCAAGGAGTCTAATCACCAGGAATATCCAAATAATGTGACTGCACTCAAAGGATTAAAAAAGAAAACAATGAATGTCACGTTTTTTAAAGCAATGTAAGCAGAAAATCTTAAGTGGTCTACAAAACCACATACTTCAAGAAAAACAGAATATAATAAAATAAGATTGAAGTGCATGACCTCAACAGGACCTGTTTTCTGGCTCTGGTGGTGCTTAATACAGTACGCAAGCCACGAAGTGCTTTTGCCCACCATCAGTTCTCACCCAAGTCCAGGGCACCAGGCTGGGTGGGCAACTTCTTCGAGGTGGAACTGGTTGGATGAGAAGAGACCACCTAAGAATGAGGGAAGAGATGCAGGGAAGACCTGAGGGCAGAGCATCCCAAGAGAAGGAGGAGCCCCTAGCACAAGGTGAGGAGGACCCAGCAAGAAAGAGCAGGGGTAGGCAGGCTGGACAGGAGGGAGAAAGAGACGTGGCAGGAAGAGTCATCAGACTGCTATAGAGACAGACATGGGCCATCGGTGAGTTTTGAGCAGGAAACTGATTTGAGTTGATCCCACTGGCTACCATGTAGGGAATGATTTTATCAGATCAAAAGTGAAAAACCATGCTCTGGGAGTCCTCCACATGAGAGCTCATGGAAGTTTTGCTGGGCAGGTGGCCATAGACCAGGCGACGAGGTGGGGTTGACTCAGCACATATATGTATATACATAAGCACTAGAATTCCAATTTTTTTCTTGAAGCTTTTTAAGATTAAATATATTTTCTTAACACACATACAGAGTTATAAATATTCATCTCAGGTCTACATATATAGATGCTTAGAAATACTTGATATAACATAATTTATAATATGTAATTATATATATTTTTTTCGCTTGAGAAACAAACCCCCTTGGGCAGCCTGGGTGGCTCAGCAGTTTAGTGCTGCCTTCAGTCCAGGATGTGATCCTGGAGATCCGGGATCAAGTCCCACGTTGGGCTCCCTGCATGGAGCCTGCTTCTCCCTCTGCCTGTGTCTCTGCCTCTCTCTCTCTCTCTCTCTCTCTCTGTGTGTGTGTGTGTCTCATGAATAAATAAATAAAATGTAAAAAAAAAAAGAGAGAGAGAGAAACAAACCCCAAACTCTTTTTTGAGGGGGGTGGAAATAATTTGTCATTGCTTATAAAATATTTTAGTGTTTCCAGTAAACTAAGAAAAGGCACAATATAGTCTCTCCTGTTATAGTACTTCTCAGCTTAATTGGCAAGATATCAGCATATATTTTAAAGCCAGAGTCTACAGTTGTGGGTGACTTACAGGTTTTAGGTTTCAGTCTGAACAACTGAGTGACTCCTGATGCTGTTGACTGAGATGGGCAAAAGTGTGTCAAGAAGGGAGTCTGGGGGCAGAAGGCCTGGGAGTGCAGTGTATGACCCTCTCCCTCTCTCTCCCTGCAGTGATCCCGAAAGTCACCAAGCACCTACTCTCAAACCCTGTGTTCACCTGCATCATCCTGGCCGCCTGCATGGAGATTGCAGTGGTGGCTGGCTTCGCTGCTTTCTTGGGGAAGTACCTGGAGCAGCAATTTAACCTTACCACCTCTTCTGCCAACCAGCTGCTCGGTGAGTCTGCTCTCCGTCCCCCTGGGTGGGAAGAGGGCTGCTATCATGCAGGTAATACTCTGAGAATTTACCAAGGCCCATCAGAGAAAGAGCCCAGACTCTGCTGCTCCAACAATAGCAGTAGTCCTGGTGTTTGTGTACAGAAGGAATTTTAGTCTATTCTTGCAGTAAAACTTGCCAAAGGGATGTAATAATAAAGAGCTAAAATATGAAATGTACATAGGAAGCATTGTGACAGGCCAGGAGATCAGTAGATAGCTGTGAACTACAGAATTTGGGAGAAGACAGGATGAAGGAAGAGAGGAATCAAGATATATCCTGAAAGGTTAGCAGGCTTTGCTCAGACACATAAAAAAGTAAGAATATTCTTGGCAGCGTGAAACACGTAGTCAGCAAATACAGAACTTGGAAGCCACACACTCCCTTCCTGACCCCTGCCCATGGCAGACATAATTAATGGATCATGACACTCCTTCTCCCCAAGCTCAAGCATGGCCTGACCATCCTTCTTAGTAGGAGACTACAGGCATCTCCTTCTGCTATTTGGAGCTGGCATGATAAGGAAAACCAATTCGCCCTCGTGGGAAGCAGCATCACGTATGTGTAGTTAGCAAAGTGGCTTCATGATTCACAAAGGAGACAGAAGAGTGAGGAAAGACACCTGCATTTCGGGCTCCGACGGCTGGTAGCACCAGTTTTGCAGTGTGGAACCAACAGAGAAGAATCAGATCCATGAGGGAAGATTGTGAGATCACATTTGAAGTTGCTGAGTGTGAGACACCTGTGGTGTGTCTCTGTGGGGTCCTGTACTTGATGGGAGCTCTGGAAGGAGACCCTGCTGGGGAATAGAAGTTCGGTTGCATCGGTGTAATCTGAGGGTAGTCAGGGACGTGGAGTGGAAGTTCCACAGTAAGAAAGTTAATTGGAAAAGAAGAATAAAGTCCCAACCGTGAGGAAGCACAGCAGTCCAAGGCGAAGTCAGAAAGAAACCCACAGGTCATGGGAGTCAAGGATGATTCCAAGGAGGAAGCAGGCAGCAGCGCACACACATGATGAGGACAACAGCGTCTCCATTGCCTGCAACCACCAGGATGTCCTTCAGCCTGTGTCAGAGCTATGTCTGAGACATGGTGGTGGGGAGCCCATACTCTGTGTGGAGAGCAGCCCCCAAGAGGGAAGGAGTAGTCTGCGGCTGCAGGACACTTTCCTCGAAGCTCAGCCATAGAGTACCGGAGGGGACCATGGCAGGTGGGTGGTGTGTGTCCCTGGAGGGGAACTGGGGGAGAGTTGGTGCGTTGCTAGGAAACATGAGGAGGTTGCTAAGGCAGTGGGGTTGGGGGGGATGAAGAGCCAGCAGAAAGGGATTTACAGGAAAGAGAGGGGGTTGTGGATGGACAGCCCTCGACAGAAGAGCTCATACATAGGTCTTGCCAGTGAAGAGGAGAGAGACGTGAGTCTGGCCACTGAGATGCAGCTAGTATGGCTCTGCATCTGAGAGAGAGCTCCAGCCCCATGAATTACCTTCTCTGGTCTGTAGGGGTAGATCACTTGCTGAGAGCAATGATCTCCTTCAGCACTTCCTGTCTCTTTGCCTAATGGCCAATTAGCAAATGCAAAGGTACCAACCCATCATAAGGAGGACACATATTAAAACCACACTGAGATACCACTGTGCATCCACCGAACTGATAGCACCAAATGTTGGTGAGGGTGTGGAGCAACAGGAAGTCTCAGGTACCGCTGCTGGGAGTGCCCGATGGTGTGAGCACTTTGGACAGCTCTTGGGCAGTGCACCTGTTACGGGGATCCATCCATCCCACTTCGGGGCATGGATTCAACAGAAATGAATGTTTAAGTCCACTCCTTTAGATACGCATATATAACTGCATTCAGAGCAGCCTGGTGCATGATGGCCCCAACGGGATACAGCCCAGATGTCTGTCGACAGGAGAAGGGGTATATAAATTATAGAATGTTCGCACAGTGCTATCACCCAGCAGGAGAAAGGAAGCATTTTCGTACCTGCCTCAATGTGGATGAATCTGATAGAGCTGAAAGACGGCAAGCACAAAAGTGTAGAGATTTATGAGTTTAAAGAAGGAAAGCTTAGTTAAAGTGATAAAGACTATGATGATGGGGGAACTATTGTCCAGGGAGGGGGAGGCGGCAGCCACCAGAGACCCTTCCTGGGCTTCTGGGAATGTGCCAAACTTGATCTGAGTGGTGGTGATAGGGGTATATATGGATGCAAGGAATCTGGTGTTTCCTTAAGCTTTGTGCACTTTCCAGGACATAATGTATATCAATTTAAAAAAAAAAACATGAAAGCCTGCTACGATGACGCACCTGGATCATAGTGTCTCCTTGGAATGGCTAGCCTACCATGAACCTGATTTCTTTTCTTTTTTTAACAAATAACACTTTGCCATCCACTTTTTTGTTACTTGTCACTTGTAAGAAGTATTAGCAAAATTCAGGCAGCTTTCCAGTACCTGTCTGACAGAGGTAGGGTAAAGTGGGTCTCTTTATAATTAAAGTCATAACTTCTTTGTTATTTTTGGAATGTCTCTGGTTTTGCCCTCCAGCAGCCCGAGTTTCTCCATTTCCTCATTTCTGTAGCTTCTGTTCTTATGTTCTCATTACATTTGCACGGTTGCTTCGATGTTGGGGCTGTGTTCTTTTTCAGGACAGTTTCTATTGACAAACAAATCAATAGTCTTCAGGGCAGAAGGTCAAAAAAACAATCTCCCCCTCTTCACCTGTTTCTTTCCCAGCAACTCTGTCTAGTGCTTGGCAGGGGAGGACCTTCTCCTGCCATGCAGAGAAGCCACCTGCTGGCTCCTATGTCCAACCATCTGTCCGACAGTCCACGCTGGCAGCATGCATGGCCTCTTCTTGTGTCCTGCTTGGGGCCTCACTCAAATCAGCATGTTCCCTAGAGGGCTGCCTGCAATGGGGGCTGACACTGGGCACTCAGGGCACAAAGACAGGTAATGGAAAAAAAAAAAAAAGAGATGAGGTGATAAACATAGAGAGCTTTTACCATCAGCTAATTCCAGCTTTGTTATTTTGGCAATGGAGAGCAAAAGGATTAAATAATCCATCTGCAGTAGCTTAGAATTAAAAAGTAGAATTAAAAAGTAGTAGAATTAAAAAGTAAAGTCTTGTTAATAGTTAAAAAACAAAAAACAAAAACAAAACAAAGACAGGTAATGGGATCAGAAGGTGCTCAGCCCCTGCTCCCTGCAGGCTGGGGCATCAGCGCAGAGCCCTGGGCCCCCCTGGGAGTCATCAGCAAATGGGGCAGAGTCCGGAGAAGAGCAATGTAGATGATTAAGGCACTGATGGCATGGATTTATGCATGAAGATAAAAAGGACTCAATCTGCATAGGTTAACGTAATGAGGATGGAGTTGCGGGGAAGTTCTGATAACTGAATGCCAAGGCTGCACACACATCAGGGAGGAAGAGAGCGGCCTGATGACGGTTGGGAGAAAAAGCGCTGAAAGCCTGTTATTGCCATAGTTACCATCCTCACCAGGTGACGCTCCCCACAGCCTCCTCTGCTAGGAAACGAAACCAAGCCCAGGCCTGCTCTCTGGGCGTGGGCCCGTCCTCACCAGTGTTCATTCACACAGGTCCAACCTGCTCGCCATTTCATTCACCCCAAAAAGAAGCCTGGAGTGTCCACCCTGTGCCAGGCACAGGGAACCGTGCTGGACTGAACGGGATGGAAAAGCTTCTTGTGCTCAGGGAAGCTGCACGTCAGGAGGGAGGAGAGTGGACAGGAAACCAAAAGTCCAAATACGAATAAGGCAGCTGCAGATAGCAGGGAGAGAGCCATGAAGATAATAAAATGGGTGAGGAATGATAGGGAGCCCCTGGGTGGGGTATAGGACCCACTCTAGGTAGCATGGTCTGGGAAAGGCATCTCTGAAGGGGGTACAGGGCCAGCCAAGTAGAGACACAGTAGAAGAATGTCCCAGGAGAGGGAGCAGCAGGTGCAAAACCTGGGGATCTGAATGGATTTGGCCTGTCCCAGAGAGAGAAAGGAGGAGCTTTGGGCCAGGAGGGCGGGGGGTGGGGTGAGCAGAGAGGGGCACATGGGGGCTAGATCACAAAGGTCATTCCTATACCAAGAACCAGAGAAAACCAAGCGTAGGTATTCCAAGAGCATCAAATAATGCAGAGATATCATACGTTTTTATTTAAATGTGACTTGTGCTATTTTCTTGCAGAGCTCAGCCTTCCTGATTATGTTTTTCTTCCCCTAATATTAAAATTAATTTGCATTCCCTTAGCACATACCAGCTGGTTGATGTAGTCGATTGACCTAGAGGTCTGTTGATTGGCAAGGAGGAGACAGCCTAGACTGGGAAATTGGCCATGCACAGTCTACCCGGTGGATAAATGACGCACAGTAATTTAAAGCTGAGTTTTAGATGAAGCGAATCAGGACAGAGCAAAGCCAAATAGGAGATTGGAACCCTAGCACCATTTGGTCCTTCTGAAATTCCACAAGTCTCTGAGAGTCAGAAATAACAGGTTTATGGTCCTGCTGCCTTGCAGATAGCTCTGTTTGTAAGAGAGGGGAAAATTTTTTAGGCCAATTACTCACCAAGAGCTACAAAACATATTGATTTGATTGATGCTACTTCCCAAGAGTTCTGGGAGCTGTTTGAAACACCATGTCCACAGGCTGGTGAGCTCTGGGACCTTTGCTTAAACAGCCACCAGATCCTTTCAATGAAGCCCTCCTTGGCTAATGAGGAAAGGAGAGAAAATCCCCAAGTGATCTTGAATCCCTTTTCCCACATCACCTCTAAAATGCACAGATGGCACGTCAGTGCTCCCCAATCATGACTTCCCTAAAACGCACGTGCATGTTCCCAGCCTGTCCGTCTTTGTCTCTTGGTCATTCCCAACACCAGCTGTGTCTTTCCCATGAGGATCCCTTACTTAGCAGGATAGATATATATCTATATATATATAGATATGTCTATACTTAGACTCCTAATAGCTGAATGTTTCCATGTCTGTGTCCCCCAGTTTTCTGTGAGTTCTCCAAGGTCAGAAATAAGGCCCTTCATGGAGACTTGGGGGCAGCGTGGGGGATGTACCATTGCAGTGGTGTCACTGGGAATTTGGTCTGTGCAGGGCTCGGCCCCCAGCCTGGCACCACTCTGTCAGCGCCAACTGGCCCTGCTTTCCCTGCTAACAGTCCCCGCCCCCTCTGTTTTTCTCCCAGGGATGACTGCAATCCCATGTGCCTGTCTGGGGATCTTCTTGGGTGGTCTCCTGGTGAAGAAGCTCAGTCTTTCTGCCCTCGGGGCCATTCGGATGGCCATGCTCGTCAACCTGGTGTCCACAGCTTGCTACGTCTCCTTCCTCTTCCTGGGCTGTGACACGGGCCCTGTGGCTGGGGTTACTGTTCCCTATGGAAACACGTAAGTCCCAGAAATAGCCGTTTTCCACGCCTGCCTGCTCAGGGGTGCCTGGACTCTTTCTTCATGGTAGGGTAATGGAGCCAGCTTTGTCCCTAGTGACCATGAGTGGAGGGTTCAATGATGCCTTCACATTGTCCTCTCAGGGTTGAAGAATCACCGTGGACCTTTTGGGTGGAGAGCACAGATGATTCCGCTCAACAGGAGCCAGAAGCGTGCCAGGGGAGACCATCACATTCATTCCTCACAGTACTCCTATTACCATTTTTGGCATTTGACTTTAGGAATAATTGAAGATAAATAATACAGATGAATTTTATTTTAAAATTCAGCTTTTTTTTTTTCTTTTTTGAGATGGGGAGAGAGAGAAGTATGGGAAGAAGCAGAGGGAGAGAGAGAATCTTAAGCAGACTCCATGCCCAACGCTGACCCAAGATTGACTCAGGTTCAATCTCACGACCCTAAGATCAGGACCTGAGCTGAAATCAAGGGTCAGACATTCAACCAACTGAGCCACCCAGGCACCCTTTAAACTTCAGCTCTAAATGAAAGACAGAATTGATTTCACCCATTCCAGAAATTATCAGAAGCTATCATTAGGCTCCCACAGTAATTATAGGGTCTCACCCATAGTAGGTATTGATAAGTATGGGAGGGGACAGAGGATGGGGAATAAAAGGGGAAAAGAAGGAGAAGGGAAGAAAGTTGGTTCTTGTGGGACACTTTTTTTCTAGTTGTTATCTCAAGGCTTTGATCTAGAGTCCAATCAGAATTGCCCCCAGTGGGAATTATGGAGAGCGTTTATGTACGGAGCAGGAACAGCTGTCCCCTTTTCTGTGTGAGACTGAAGCTGCTTGGGGATGAGTCCTGGAGCATCAGGGCTGCAGCAGAATCGACCTGTGGGATACCAGTTCCTCCTCATGCCAGTTTCCTCCTCCAGGCAGGCCATCAGGTTTTCTCCTGTAGTCTGTATCCAGAAGATACAGGAGAGCTGGGCTTATCTGCCACCTGACAAGATCAAGCGAGCTGAATAGGAGAACATAGGCAGAGGCAGTTGTCTGTAAATCCATGCCCAGCCCAGCCACTGTGTGTCCCTCCATCCCCTTTATTAGCACCGTGGCCTCTTCTGCCCCCCACCTCTTCCTACCCCCCATTCCTTCCTCTCCCAAATGTGGCACCTTCTGCTTTGTGCATGCCATAAATAACAGCATTTGGAGAGAGAGACCGCCAGCCTTACTGTGCCAGTTCTCAAGTAGTAAACTTGTAGTGGTTCAAAGCACAGGGTCTTACGATAATGAGGTTCTTCTTCATGGGAAAAAGAAAAAAAAAAAACAGTTCAGAGCCTACAATCCAACTGCCAGCTCTGCCCAAATTGGTAGAGCTCCAAACCTCAGCCCCTCCTCCCTCGCTTTGCCATGTACGAATTACATATATTTGGGTGGGATCTCAGCCTGGCTTTGCCTCAGTTTCCTTCTCTATCAACCCCCCGGGGTCACTTGGAAAATAAGTAAAATAATATCCGAGGTACCATCAACGGTGCTGGCACATAAATTGTCAGATCATCATTACTATGAAGTGGTCCGAACCCTGGGAGGCTGGAAATGACACTTCCTCTCTTACAGAGCTGAAAACACCCACTCCATCCTCTTCCCCTTTGCAGTCTGCGAGCTCTAGGTAATTGTGCCTTTAATGGCACAAAAGGAAATTTAAAATAACTTGAGTTATTTTTCTCAGGAAGTTGAATCAATCAGACAGATGAGAGTTATCGAAGCCAGTGTAGTGGTAGTGGTGTGTTGAGCATCACAAAGCTCACTGCCTGCTAGGGAGGAATGAGACAGACGAGAACTGACCCAAAGGAGGGAGAAGTCAGTGTTGGGCTGTGCCCGATGGCAGTGGTGTTGAGTCAGGGAGGGGGGAACGGGCTGAGGCTGCAGTGATCATGAGCAGCCTTGCCGTGGAGGTGGCTCTGAGCTGATCAAGAAGAGGCTTCTTCTTCTTCTGGGCAGAGGAAGCTCGCAGCCTGCCACCGTTGTGCATGGCTCTCAGTGGCGGTGCTGGGCTGGTCCTTTCAGGACAGGGAGGGGTAAGATCAGAGGAGGAGGAAGGGGTACCAGGTGCCTCATTTTAGCAGAGGGCAGAAGGCTGTCCCTGGAGAGATCCAATAGAAGTTGACCTTCCTCTGATGGATTCCGTGTTTCCTCTCTCTTCCAGCTCAGCACCTGGCTCGGCCCTGGATCCCTACTCGCCCTGCAATAAAAACTGTGAATGCCAAACCGATTCCTTCACTCCAGTGTGTGGGGCAGATGGCATCACCTACCTGTCTGCCTGCTTTGCTGGCTGCAACAGCACGGTATTGGTGATTTTCTAACGGGATGGGATGGGACCAGGGACTCAGGCAGCCAAAGTAGCTTAAAACCTGTGGTCAGGGGCAGTCGTGGGCAACAACATGTGTTCTATACTTTGTGTGCCTGCACTGTGACTTTTTTTCAGTCTCCTCCAAGCTCCAGTGGAGCATCCTCTGTCAGCGGGATGGGAGGACTCCCAGGTCATTCAGACCTTCCTGCTAAATCAAATAGGTTTCCAAAAAGTGTCATTGAGCAACTAAAAATAAAAATGTCAAAGGAAGCTGTACATTATGGAGGCAGAGAAAAAGATTGTATTTCAGGGCACTCACAAAGTGTATCAGTGAAATAGCCTGACTCTACAGGTAATGAGCTCCCCATCAACAGAAGTGTGTAAAGAAAAGCTGGAGAACCATTTAACAGACACTTCCTCCAAGCCTGAGACTATCGACACTAATTTAACCCCTTCCTTACTCAGTTCCTTTTATCTTTTTATTCTCAACTAAATACCTTCCACCTTTTTCCACTCCCCACTAAACTTTGTTTTGTTTTGGTTTTGAGTTTTTGGGGTTTTGTTTTTCCTCCTCAGTGTGAATTGTCCAGTTGGCTGTCAGCCTGCGGTTTTCCCTGTTCTCTGCTTGAAAACCTGACCCTAAGGGACTGGTCATCAAGCCATGCTGATCCCACCTTCCAGGTGTCTCTCACACCTGCCTGCCTTCTGCATCCAACACCAGGGCCCTGGTGCGAGCTCTCCTGGTGTCTTGCTTGGCATTTGTGCAGCAGTTGCCTAATTGGCCTCACAGCTCAGGACCGCCCCCTTCTGGGCCATCTTCTATACTGCAGCCAAAATGATTTCTGTAACCCTGCCGATGACTCCTTCTGGTGCTACCCTGTCACCTGCAGGATAAGAGCTAGGCATTGACCTGGCTTTGTATGTGTCTTCAGGACACATCTGTCCTCATGCAATCCCTTCAGCTCTACTCCCTTTTGGTTTGTGGTATCCACCTTCCCCCACACAACAGGTGTCTTTTCATTCTTCCTCCATTTGGACACTCCTCCTCACCTGTCCATACCCTCAAATTCCCCTTTCTCTGTGAGGCCATTCCTTCTCTTCTTTCTCTTTGGTGTTCTTGCTTCTGTGGTTCTTAGCACCTATCTCTGCTGGAGGCTGCGCCCTCAGTTCACTGCAGTGATCTGCTAAAAGTATTTGTCATTTGCTCTGATCTGTGAGTTTCCCAAGTGAGGGCTGGCATCCAGAAGTTGTCCAGAAATGTCTAGGAATGTCTAGGTGAAGTGAAAGACAAGAAGAGGGCTGAGTGGCTGCTTTAAAGGAATTTAGAGTTGTAATTACTTATTTCTCCTCATATTCTGTGTCTTTTGGGAGCAGCAATTTCTCTGAAAGAAGAAAAATCGATCACTTATTTTCATCTCCAAAGATTTCATTTTTCTTTGCTTTTAACATTTAGATTCCTGGCCATTTATTAACATTTTTCCATAGAGAAAATAAATCACCTTGAGTGGGGAGGGAGGGAGAGAGAATCTGATTTTTTTTTTCAATTAGATGATAAAGCAATTTCTTTATGTGATTGGAAATGAATTTTAGAAAAGAGATGAGGCCTTGCAAATGGTTAAAATAAAAATATAAGCTATTTGTTTTCATGACAGCCACTTTATTAACATTTTAATATCCAAAAAGTTCTATAAATCATGTTTGGTTATTGTCCTGTTTTTAGAAGTAAATGGACTCTATAAACTGGTGTCCTGAGACCAAACAAGTCTCTATTCCAGAGCCTTCTCTGACCCCCCCCCCAAAAAAAAAAGTCTTAAAAGTTGCATTTCCCTTGGTCTTTCATGTGCAAGAGTCTTATTGAATAAGAGCCTAACCAGGCCCATTACTGCTTCCAGCTGCTGAAACAGCAAGCTGTGGAATGCAATTATTGGATAGTGAGCTTCTCTGCTTCCCTCTGGACATATCCTTTCTCCTCCAGACACCTGCCTTTTCTTCACATTACTGAGGCCTCATGTTGTCTGCAAAGCAGAGAGGTTCTCCTCCTGTGATTACCAGTCAGAGATGGAGACAGACCTGGGCCCAGGGCTGGTGGGAGTAACATTTCTCCCTGCCCTGGCGTCCAGCAGGTGAATGTGAAGGATTTGGGAACTCAGAGCCGTATGTATTGTGCAAAGGGGCCCTTGTGACAATCTAGTCTTAAGAGCAGCTGTAATCCTAAAGCTCACAACAGCAAACTTTTTCAACAGCCCTTTTGGGCCAGGCAACAGGCCTTCCACACGTCACTCACAGCCCATGACAGCTTGGCCTAGAATCAAAGAAATCTCAGGCCACCGTCCAAAAATGAGCAGAAAGCAGTTTCAGTCTTTTATATCTCTGCTTCAGGATCTTGAGAAAATGCCAAATGGTGGGATATATTCCTGGTGCATTCTCTCCCTCCTTCGTTCCTACTCTCCTTCTTGTCTCCGCGCTCCCACAAAACCTTTTCCAGCAACCAAAGTCTTCCTCGTCCATCTTCCCTCTTTCCCTTCTTATACTTCCCTTCACTGGCTGCTGGAGTCCTCAGGCTCTCCAGGCGTGAATGAAGCCACTCCTCCACCTGCCCGCCCAGCTCTGTGCTGCTTCTCTTGCTGATCCTTACAGCAACCTGAGGAAGGAGGTGTGATTTTTATGCCCCAATTACAGACTAGTCACATGCCCCAGGCCATGCAGAACCTGGTGGCACTGGAATTGACATGGAGGTCTGTCTGTCTGTCTGACACCAACCTCAGTGTCTTCCTCTGACCCTGCAACTTACCTCTTTGCGATTCTCACCTTTTCTTTCCTTGAGAAAACCTCTTGGTTGTACTCTCTGTAGTCAGGACCCTCTGCCTTCACAGACTGGCCCTGCTGCCTCTCCAGCCTCAACCTCCCCACTCCCCCCACCTGTTGACGAATGACTTGCTGTGTTGAAATTCCTGGGGTTTTGCAACATACCCAGCTGTCCGTTATCTCTGGGCCTTTGCACGTGCTGCTGTTTTTAGCAGGAGAGTCCTCAGTCAAGTCCTTCAGATGCATAATAATTCTTTACCTGCAGCTAAGAAGCCTCCTCCCAGGTTATCACTTCTTCTAGGGCTGCATTAGTGCCCTGCCCTACAGAGTCCTCCAGCACCTGCTCTGTCTGGCAGTCTGTCCCTTCTACCTCTACCCCCATTCAAACAGCTTGTTTACTCCTGCATCTGCCTCCTTAGGCTCCAGTGTCCAGGGATGGGATTATCCTGTGAACCCTTGCATTTCCGTGTCCAGTGTCCTGGCTCTGGATAAAGGCCCCAGGTGTCCTGAGCACCTGGCTGGAGGCCCCCGTGCTGACCCCAGGGAGCCACGGGTGAGAATATCATTCCCTTGAATAGAAATTGGCAGGTAGGTTAGTTGACTGGTGGAGATTTCAGTACTAAAGCTCCGGTCCCTGTTCATCTCTCACCCATTCACAGCTTCTATCAGAACCTGTGAAAATTGCCCCTGACTTGATTAAATGTGAGTTGCCCATCAAATAATTCTGGTTACAGGGAAATCTGGTTAGTGTGAGTGGTTTCCTGCTATTAGACTTGCCTTGCTGCTCTGGTTTGGGTTTTGTTTTGTTTTGTTTTTCCCTATTTCCCATCTCCTTGAGTGATAGCAATGAAAGTTTCCAGGGTTGCGTTTAATATACAATTTCTAATTCTCCTCATTGCATATGACCAAGGAGGGGTGACAAAAAAGATTGCGAATTAATTTTGTAAGCTTCCTTTGGCATGAGTATGTTGTCCAGATTGTTTCTGTACCTTTCACTCTCAGAAGTAATTATTCCAATGGAAAGCATGTTGGTATGCTGCTGACTGCTGGAAGTTGTAGCCTTTTGATGTACTGAATAATTGAGTAAAAAGAAAAAAAAGAAAGGCTTGTATCAGCTACCAATAGAACGTTGAAAGTCAATCTAAATCCAGCACCAAAGTTTGTAGGGGACTAATCATGGGCCACTAATCTATCTCCCCACACAGGCAGCCAGATGTATGTCGAGCACCTGTTAGAGCAGAGCTCTGAGTTGGTTCTGCGGAGGGCTGGGGGGCCTATGATAGATGCATGCAGGAAGTTTGTTGTTTACTCTCCTGGATCTCATGCAGGCAGTGTTAGAATTGCTTGAGAACTTTTAAAATATGAGCCTCATCCTTAGATACTCTGATTTCTTTGTTATGGAGTACGATCCTGGTATCAATAACTTTTTAAAGCCCACTTCTCCCCCGCAAGTGTGTTTGTGTGTAGCAGAGGTTGAGAACCCCTGTTCCCCTCCAGAGTGTCTCCACCTCAGCACTGCTGATATTTGAAGGCTATGTCTTTGTGGTGGGGACTGTAGGATATTCAGCAATATCCCTAGGCTCTACCCACTAGTAGATGCCAATAGTTACCCCTGCTCATTTGCAAAACCAGCAGTGCCCCCAGATGTTTCCATAGGCTCTGCTTGGGTTCTGCAGAATCCCCCATGGTCGAGAACCTCTGCTCTAGGAGGAGGGATAGGTTCCTAAAATTGTACCTTTCTAGAAATGGTGTCTGAGCTGACACTGAGCACCGAGCCTTCAGTGTCCTTTCCTTTCCACCTTTATGTGTCCAAGCACTGAAGAAACCATGCTAGAGACTGGAGAGGCCACATCAGCATATTACAGAAGAAACTAACTGCTTGTTACCCCCTCTGCCCTTCACGTGTGCTTACTGTGGCCTGAACCAAGGTTTAAACAGTCTGTGCATTTCATACACATATCTGGATTCCTGGCCTCTCTATAAAACTCGGATAAGAACTGACCTGATCCTGGCACCCCCCTAGGGCAGCAGTTGGCTGGAGCTGAGAGATGGTCAAACCTACAGACAAGACATTTGATCTTCTGTAGGCACAGTCCCCACACCTGGCCATCCCTTAGACCTGGGCCAGTTTTCTTATCTGTTTCCTATCTTGCCCTCAAAGGCTTGGAGTTTGCAAGCTCTCTTATAGAA